GTTATTTTTTTTTTTGTTATTCCATCAAAATATTTGTAATATTATGATACAAGAATAAAATTAATAATGGTTGTTAATTAAAAAAATCCATACTTTAAATAGATAATAATAATAAAAAATAATATTAGTAGGTTAAAAAAAATGCATGGTTTATATAGCCCGGGCAGCACCACATTGACCGGGGCAATGTACACATTGCCCTTAACATATATACCTTGAAGTATAATAAAAATATGTAAAGTATCTATAGTACATTATTATTATAAAAGAAAATTTAATAGAATATTATGTGTTTACGGAATTTTTGTCCGAACCTTTTTGACCACCAAAATGCATATGAGCACTCGATATAATTTTTAAATACCAATTAGTCACAATTATTCACCAAATATTATGATTATGGCTTGTAATTCTCTCCATCAGAAATAAAAAATATTCCAGAAACTAGAATTTGAATAAATACATTTTAGAGTTAAAAAATAATAATAAATAGGAGTGAAAATACTTAGTCTTGTACATTAACTATTAAGAAATGAGAAAACATCTATAAGCGTATCCGGCGCATGTTTTATGTTGAGTGGCTATACGTCAATATTATACTAGACTTACGATCAAACTCTGGTAAACAGGCTATACGAACATTTGGTTTAAAGGTATTAAAATATTTATACGGCAACCATAGTAATAGTACCGTCGTAATAGTAGATGCAATAGGTACCAAAGAATCTTTATTGATGTGTCCCTAAACATTATTTCACTAAGGAAGGTTCGTAAATGTCCAATATATTCTTGCCGACAATCCAACCGGTTTTTAAAACACTTAAGATACACCTAATGGGAAATAATTATTCAATACGACATTTAAGATGAAATGGTTTTTCGACGGACTACTTAACGATGCTTAGATATATAATGGTATACAGGAGATTCTTTTATCGAAGAACATCATTATTTATTTTACATAATTCCAAAAGTCACAAAACAACATTTCTGAAAAAATAAATATATTTTATACTTTCTATTAATGACAACATATTACAGTTTAAATCCTTTTTCCGAAGCAGAATATTGTAAAGAGAACTTCGTTGTATGAAAATCGAATTTTGGAGTAACACCCGCGAATGTTTGATATTTTAAATATATATTACATTCAAGACTAATGAACTACTTTAACTAAAAAACTGATTTTTATAGACCGAAATACTGAAAATACCGAAATCTTCTATAAATGAATGGTACTGCTGCATACGAACAGAGTCCCAGTATAACTAGTATACCTGATTAGGTATACCAATATACCTTTTCTGATGGAGTCCCGAGTTGTTTTAAGGTATATACCAATTGAGTCCAGTGAAATTTTAAGTATAATACTAATTAAGTCCATGTTTTAATACTAACTGAGTCCCGTTAAATTTAAAAAAAAACATATTCCTTCCCATTTTTACAGACTTAGGACCGTCTGTAACAAAAAAATCTACAGGTATGGTTGAAAATGTTAAGAATCAATCCATAGTATATAGTTATATTATACATAATTATGTTGATTTAAACTTTTTTATTGGCAACTAAACTATTATTTTTATATTTATTGTCAGTGGTCGGGACGCTACTGTTTTTTGTAGCACGCTAACGCTACTGCTACTCCCCCCCCCCCAAAAGTAGCTCGCTATCGCTAAAGCTACTTTTTTTTAAACAATAGCGTTAGAAGTAGCGCGCTACTTTTTCGCTACATTTTTTAAAAAATTTTTTGATTTATTTATATTATATTCGCTTGAGTAATTGGTTATTATTTGTTAATGCCTACTACTACTTTCTTGTATTTTTGGAAGGCAGGTTTATTCAATGTATTTCACGTATTTTTGTAACAAAAATCAAAACAAATAAACGTTTTATTGAAAATTGCCAATAATTAGTAGTTTGTACTGATTAGACATTCGGTCACTGGGAGAAAAGACTTCACACAGTAAGGGGATGAGTGATTACTGATTACAAAGAATTTTGATTTGCCAAACATTTTTTTTTTAAAGTTGATGGCAAGCATGGATCTAGAACATCTTACGCTCCGCTGTATAGTGTAAGTGTCAAGTGGACGACTATTCAAAATATTTAAAACTTAAAAGAAACACAGAAAAGTAGAAAACGCTGAATGTCGGAAACAAAAATAGTGGTCATTATTTATGGTTCTGTATTCAATCATATAAAATATATCATTGTAATAATTCACTTATGATTATAGGTTAGGTTAGGTATAGTCTTATCTATAATCTATGATTGCTGATTAGTCCGGTCCAGGTTAAGCCCAAAAAAATCAAAAATACACTCATCTTGTCATCTTAATTAAATAAATAAACATACACCATAATATTTTAATTTTCATGAAATAGGTTAGAAGTAGCGATAGAATAATGAACATTTTCGCCACACTAACCGTAAATTTCCAGCGCGCTATAGTATTTCGCTACATTGTATATACTGTAGCCACGCTATGTTAATATCGTTACAGCTAAAGTAGCGCGCTCTCCCGACCACTGTTTATTGTTGATTCGCTCTGTGATCATTTTGCTGTGTTGGTTATTTTAAATAGGAAACAAACCCTCTGTTTTCTTTTGAATCAAAATTCAAAGATCAGTAATCAGTCTTAAAAATAAACTAGTTCTATATACGACACTGCTACATTAGCAGTGCTAATGCCTACATAAAATATAGTTCTGCGGCATCCATATTATCAAAGGATGTTAGCCACCGAACCTTCAACTTCACAGAAAACCCAACCTTTATTATCAATTATTTTGATAGCACAGTTATACAGAATTGTCAACTTAATATCACCACTAAAATACCTCGGAACCAACAATGTATCGCATAGTAATAATATTGGCAGTAAAACGGTTTTTACTATTACTACTATTAATTGTAAGATGTATATTTCAGAAAGCGAAAACTTTGTATGATCTGGTAAAAATATTAATTTCAGAAAACGGACGCTTTGTATGTAGTATCAAATACATAAAGTATTTAAGCATATATCATGTAAATATAAGTACATATATTATGTTAAACAGTTCGAAGCGATTTGAGCATTATTTTATTTATTTTATTATAATTAAAAATGAATTAAAGATGTAATGACTACCTAGTATATAGATTATAGGTAAACAAGCCAAAATAATCAGTGTTTTAAATGTATTCTCATTAGCTGGTAACAACCGAACATTAGGTACTTGATGCTGTAATATAATTATTAATTATAATTATATGTATTTCATAATTAAATAAACCAAATAGTATTCAATAATCTTAATAATATTTTTGCTATAACTTTTCATGACTCGTGATTTTTCCGACTTTTTTATACTATACCTGTCCTCTACACTATACGTAGAAATATAATATTATGTTTATAATAGTACAAAGTGTCCGCATTCTACAATGTACATTTAACCCACCCGTACAAAGTGTCCGGGTTCTACAACCTTAATTTTTACCCGCCCGTACTAGTGTTCACATTTTGCACTTTTAATGTTTAACCGACAAAGTGACCTAGAGCACAGTGAACTAAAAAATATTGCCAGCATATAGTATAGCACCCGTATTAATTAATATATAATTTATACATCACTCAAATTTAAGTATAATTAATATCTAATTTATAGTGAGCTATATATAGGGAGGTATATATAATAATGAATGGTCTATAAAAAATGTTGAATCAGCAATATAATTATAATACAATAGTGTACATAAATCAAATTCAAGTATAATTGATATTTAATGGTTATTCATATTAATCATTTTTTTCATTCTACAAATTATATTACATTTTATAATATTGTCGAACTATTAATTATTAATTATTATATATGGTATGCTCACATTAAAGAATTATAGTTATACTTGAATTCCAGTTAAAAATATATATTTTATAAGATAATGCAATATATAATTATACTGTTATTATGTTGCTGCTATATTTTATGTACTTAAACTGACGACATTTAGTCAAATTCCAGATTTCGGACCGAACACAAGTAGCTAGGTAGCCATATAATTCCAAGTTTAAGTCTCCCCTGATTGCGTCCCAATACTCAAAACTCGTTCACAAAATATAATTTATAATAATTGATTTTTTATACACATATCGTTACACAAAATATCAACATTTTAATAATTATCAACGAATTAGTGTATTACACATTTTTTTTCTAATGCATTCCCTGATAAACAAATCGTTGATATTTTTTACGTCCATCTAACTACATATTATTCTCATAGAAAAATTAATATCAATCTGGTCTCTAAATTACTTACTATAGGTATAGGTACTTACTCAAACAACAATTTGACATCATAAAAGCGTAATTGTTCCATATTTTAAAGACATAATAATATACACCTGTATACAATTATATTTTTGCAAAAAAATGTCTGTGCTATGCATATATGTTTTGAAACACTGTGCAGAGTATATCTATGGCTATCTACTCATGCTTCGATGTAGAGGATATCATCAACTGAAGAAGAGCTGCAGATAAAGTTCTCTAACTTGAGTATTGATTAATTATTGGTATATTAATCAAAAAAATTAAAGACCCAATGGTTTTCGCAAGTGCCGAACGAATTTAACTTGGCTATCTACTTTGGATGTGTAGAGGCCGGTTTTAATGTTCCGTATAACACTTTGAGCACCGAAAGGTGGGATTACAGTTTTTGATAAACTCATTATTATAAAAACTTAATTCTTATTTATGTATTATTCGAACGAAAAATAAAGAAAAAGGTTGTAGGGAATATTGTATACTTGTTTACAAATTGTAAACTGATACCAATATCGTGTTATTCATAATACAAAACATAATTTGAGGCAATATATTATAAATCAATAATAAGATTCAATAACAAAAGTTACACATCACAACAATTATAATGTATACATATTATTAAAAATGTAAAAACCATTATAATATAAAAAAGATAATTAATTTATAAAATTAATGGAATTATGTAGTTTTTTTTAAAGAAAATCATTGATTACTGCAATATTTTTGAAAGTCTTAATTATGTTACTTGGATTACTTGGATTCCCGTTCATATTAGAAAACTGTAAAAAGAAAAAATATATTTGAGTACCTATATGTAAAAATATGTGTATTGCCAGGAATATTTAATTAATATTCAATCATATTATCCAACATGGTTATTAGGTGATAGGTATATGAGTGCAATAAGGTTAGCTCCGAGGACCGGTAATGTTCTAACCCCCAGAACTCAACCTTCACAATCACAAACAACAAACCTTTAATTGAAAAGAGCTGTTCCTTTTTTATTTCAAGTAGTGTTTTTTTTTTTTTTATCAAACCGTTTTATCTATAATTTTAATTGTTGTTACAATGCTCTAACAACTCAAGGAAGGTTCTCCATGTGTACAAGAAGCTTATCGTCGATGAGCCATTTCAAAAACTGCCTGAAGTGAAGTATTCAGCAACAGAATTTCACAAATTTATCAATACCAAACATTATAATAAAAATAGATCATAAAATTACTTCTCTAGAAATACTAAATAAGTAGCTATTCTACTATCGACTGTAACTCGTTAGATAATGTTAATATGAATAATATTATATTAGCTACAAATAGATTCAAGTTAGCACAAATCTTTAGTGATTGATATAATGTAAATATAATAATATGTGCCTGAAATTGAATTCTGATAATAATAATTTCCAGCTTATTTCATGCATGGATACAGCTGAAATAATATGACTATTTTAACAGGAGCATAATATAGTAGTTAGTAAATCGAATTGTGTATTATAAATAATTTGTTATATCATACAAATATAAATGCAATATTAAGTACCTATATTTGTTACTGGACTACAATATTGGTATGTATTTTTACTTTGATACACTTGACAATAATGGAAGTTGTAGTTCCTAAATTTAGGGGCAAAATCTGGGGATGTGAACCTCTAGCGTTTGAGAGCATTACATAATTTTAGCACCCATATACGAATATTTGAGCTCATTAACAAGACTGATTACTGTAAAATGTTTAGTTTGAAATCAAACAATTGGAAGTATACACTTACTAATTTACCGGGATTACTTGAGCCTTGCAAGTTATTCTGACATCTCATCATCATCATCATCATCTTCATCACATGCTTTTCTCTTGTAACTTCTTGGCGAAATGTCGATGAACGTTCCCGATGCTTTGAAATCTTTAATAATTTTTTCTTGAGCTGCCTTACTGTCACCTGCTGATATCCTATTTAATATGGTGAGCCGGCAGCCTATTCGACAATTGGGACGTGGTACACAAGCCGAGCAGTATTCGTGAGTACATTGTCCCATGCGCAACTATGTTATAAAACATAATCGAATGGTACATTACAAGTTGACTTTGAGTGTGGGTATTCGAGAACAAATAAAACAAAATTCTAACCTCCAAAATCGATTGCATACAAATGGTGCATTCGTATCTCAATAACCAAATTTGGATATCGGGATTAGACTTTTTTCCAAAAAAACTTGCTAAGACTCTTACATTATCTGGTGACGATAACGAGTTTTCTATAATAAAAAAGCAATTAAACATAGTAAGTCAAAGTCATAAACAAAAAAAATTAATAAAACTAATGGTGGCCTCATCGGAAACACATACCATCAAGAACAGTTTCAAGGAATTTATTCCAAGAATTTAGGTCTTCATTCATTTTCACCGACTAATGCCACACACGCTGTAAGTCAATCGCCAATTGTCGAAACGTCTACAAATAACAAAAAAAAAATTTATTATTATTTAAGCTCTATGCCAAAACTTTATATATGTGAATTCCGACACATCGATTATTAGTTTACGGATTGATGATCAGTGTCTGTAATACAACTTTAAAAATAATTACAGATTAATAATTATGATTATTTTGTGACTGCGAATGGTTATATTTTCGATTCTGATGTTCTCAGAATCGTATAATATTTTGGATCGGAAAAAATTTCAAAATAATGAACTCTTTTATTCATCTCAAAAATTAACTCTAATGCAGCTTCAGCTCGTCCGTCAAAATACTGCCAAACGTATACAACACCCTAAATACTTTAGACGATCCATGTCGAAATACTCGAAATCGATTAGTTACAAATTACAAGTCATAGTAGTAACGTACCTAGGATTTTTTCGGGAGGGGGGGGGGCTACAATATTTTATTGCTAGAGCTAGGAAAATATAGTAAATTGGATATTTCAGGGCTGGCTTATGCCTTAAAGCCCATCCTAGCTAAGGTCCTGAGTCACAGGGACGGAGTGTATCTGAATACTCTGATTTAATTTCGATGAAATTTTAAAATTTTAAAAATTGATTAAATATCGCTAATGTCTTAGGTAGATAATAATTAGGTAACGTACAGAAATGTCATCAGGTCCTCTCTAAAATTATATAGCTAAAGTAAACTCTGTTATTAATTAAGGAAATTGTACAAACATTGTAGGGATTGTTTTTGTTTGATTCAATTATTAAATATATATATTATTTTAAAATACCCTATCTATGTATTGTCTTATTTTAATAGAAAACCCGCCTAATTATTTGTAAATTATGATAAAACTATTATGCATAAAACAAAACAGGGCAATATATTTGCAATAAACCAGTTACCCGGTATGCTATGGTTCGCGGTGGATTCAAATGGCGCGCGAAACTAAGCCCTACGATTGTTCAAATACTTACTTAAGACGTCCTCTTTTCAGAACGAACACCGACAAAATGACAGCAAAGCACTTGAGCACAAGACACGAGGGCCCAGCACAAGTGCCCGACAAAAGTACACTGCACGAGTACACGACACGAGATCTCTACAGGACTATAATATATCGTATGGCACTATAGAAGAACAAATGTCATAGGTGCTCGGCGATTTCCGAGCTGCGGCGGTCACGGTTCGGAGCCGCCGTGCCAACAGTGCCGGCAACGTGAGACGCTCGTCCCTCGCCATATTTGTTCGTTTCCGGTGACGAAACAGACTGTATTCGGGACAGGACGTCCGGGGCCGACATTGTTAGAAAAATACAGCATACTAGGTGCAACTAAGATGCAACCAGGTCCGCCAGTAAAATAATACCCGGGAGAGATCGAGTGAAGTCGAATAAAAAAATAACAATATTTTTGGAAAAATACAATCACAGTGTAATATTGTGCGCGCTGTAGTTGTTGCCCATATTTTTATGTCGATGTTGGTACGGTTGGACCGGGGGTTGCCGCCGACGCGCAGAAGCGCTATTCTCCTCTTTTAAACGCAATGACGGAATGCAAAAGATATTATGCTTTCTTCCCCCTGCGATCATAACGCAAAGTACCGGCGCACGTACCAGTATTGAAGGCTAAGACAGATTTTCGATCTCCGAAGAAACAAACAACTCGACCGATTGGCCATCGCTGACATCGTTGTAGGTGAGTCACTAGCCGATATATTTTAATACCCAATAAATATTTATTATAAGTATGGGCAAAGGTGCAAATTGAGTTTTAAATTTGGGCGCGTGAGCTGCAAAGAAAACCTGTGGGGCACTATGTCCAGGGACACACGACACGTTCAAATTGTATTCTAAAAAAAAACCTGACACCCTCAGTATCTTTGTTTATGTTAAAATAAATTGTATCAATAATCATTATTATGCATTAACAAATTGAACACGGCATATATACATTCATATTATTATACAATTGTTTGAAATTTGTATGTCCAGAATTTTTTTTTTCGGGAGAAGGGGTATTGAGGGAGGGTAAACCGTTATTTAGTAATATTATTCCACCGATCGCCCCGATTCGCTTGTAGGTAAATGTATGATATTTCGTGTATATAAATCTTCAGTTATAGATCCTACTCGTAAATATGGGTAAATAAGTTCTCGGTATACGATCGTGACGAACGCTGCAGAAAAAAAATCCTGACCTCATAGTCTTGGGTATGGAAGCCGGGAAAGAGTAACATAGTATTGTTGCTATTATAAACGAATTGCAACACCATACAGCTATATAGGTTTATATTAAGAAATATTTTTTTTGGCTTTCCTGACATTTTGAAGAAGTTTAAGCTCCTCGAAGTCCCATTATCTCACGTTTAATTTGGATCCGCTCGGATTGTAGGTAGGTAATTCGACTTCAATTTTATATCATATTTTAAGAAAAAATAACGCCGACAGAATATTTATGTTTACGTTTTGAAAGGTGTTTGCATATATATCGTATTCTTTATTCGTTTATTATAATACGTAACTACTAGTTACCTACTTAGTTGTATTTCATTACCATTGATATAAAAAAAATAATAATTTTTTTCGGTCTTTAAGTCTGTAAATAAAAAACCATTCTGAGTGTATGCACGTGTATTTTCAGTATATTTAATTATTCCTAACTTCACAAAACGATAAGGTCATTTTAAATAAAAATTGTTGTCACTTAAAGTCACGAAGTATCCTGGTAACAAAGATACCATATTATGCGCATGATTATTCAAAGGAATTTCGTGGAGACGCTATAATATCAAAATTGGTATAAAAACCTAATTTTTGTTTAAAATAATATATTGTTATATCCAAATGCGGTGTTCATACACTATACTAGAAAAAAAACGGTTTTAAAAAAAAAAAATTAAAAAAAATTATATTAGCCATTAAGTAAAATTGTATTTTGCATTTTTTGGTCTTTTAATTTGCTATTGTTTATTTCGTCAATGTATGTTGTTTTTTTTTTTAAAAAAAAGCTGAAAATTAATAATCATTAATAATTTAGCTATAAATTATAATAAGTACGTATTATGTTTAGGTAATAAGTATAATAATTATAATAATTATACGACTTACGTTATGTAGCAGGAGACCTTACATAATTTATGTCTATAGATATTACTTCGTATAGAGATTTTATTCACATTTCCTATTTCAAGTAAATATAAGTCTATATTATAATTTACAAAGTTTTTTTTGTGTTAGGGCACGGCAACAAATGCCATTGGGGTGAGGGGTGGAACGGTTGGGGATTATTGTAGTAATGGTAAGGTTTGGTACGGTAGGTTTATTTTCACGTGAGTGTTTGTATTTTGGCAGAATTTCGATTGAGCACCCTTAGGTTTCTGCCATGCCCGGTCGGGGGATGGTGGCCATTGTAAAACTTTTAGTATGACGATGACAGGTGATCAGTTTCGTTTGGAAATATTATGTTTTTAGTCAACGTTCGAACGTGATAGTACCTAATATAAACAATTATTGATTGATACATTATTTACAACTTCTATACATAATTTATTAATGTATAAACATATCCATGCATATTTTATATAACTATAGTTGCATAAAGCCATTATAGGTATGGATGTATATTATATTCTTTAAGTGTGCATTTATACTTTGACGTTGTAATTTAATTATTTAATGTCACTGGGTTTAATAATACCAATATTGTTCGTTGTTATATTAACAAATAAGTAAATAAAATAAATAAATAGTACTTAATAATTTTTTTCTTTTCTTAGAAATATGTCTCTGCAGCAATGGCTACTGGCTGATAATTGACATTTTTGTTTTTACATAATTTTAGTTCTTACAATGATAATGATAATTTGTTTTTACATACGTTTTAACTGTCTATATTAAATTTTCTAATAAATAATTAATACTAAGACAAGATTATAATATAAATAGGTTAATATAAATGATGAATTGATTAAAATGTTTTAATATCTTTACACTATATAAAGTTTAACGGATGTTATTATTTATTTTACTGATAAGTGATAACCTTTAATGTTGTACCTAATTAAATATAATTTATTGTATTCTATTCTAGATAATACTGAATTTCGCCCGGTAAAAAGATTTTTGTATCAGACTGGAGTCTTAGTAAATTATTTTATATTGATAAAACAAGTTTTTATTTTTAATGCCACTCTATAACGTTATATCTATAATAATAATATATTATGTTTCGTTTCTTGTAGATTATAATATCATTTTTAATACATTATTCAACAATACAACTGCCAGATAAAAAAAAATTATTCATAACATAAAAACACTTACCTAAAATTTGTTCATTATTATAAATTTATAAGACACGCACATTAAAAAATAAAAGATTTTTCTATACTATGTATGTTGTATATATGTCTATTATGTCTATTTAAATTTATATTTAAAAATGCATGTTAATTGTTTTATTTTATCTTTAGGTTTTCAATATATTTTCCTGTGAAGATAATAAACTAATAACTTTCACAGTTGAAAATAAACTGCCTATATCGTCGGCCCCTGAATCTTCCGTAAACCAGAATAGAAAAATAATCATAACATTGTTTTGAGAAATCTAGTAAGTCCTATTTATTTTAAATAATTAAATGTAGGTACTTATAGAATTATAAAATATGTATTGACAATCTGCATATAATGTGCGTAATCTGGTTGTAGCAAGCGGAGGCAACCACCCTTTCAGACATTATCCAAAAGTGCAATAGTTTCTATTTACCTTATAGATTTCAGTTTTTCCACAGACTGCCACCCCTCCCCCGCCCACCAAAAACAAATTTAGATCACGCCTATACAGCATGTCATACTCCCCTGGTCGTTATAATTTTTTTTGTAAATTCATTAATTATCTATTAATCGGATTATCTGAGCCCAGATATTTAATAATTAATGTTATAAATATTAGGTAGGTATAATATTATGCTTGACGTCAGGCAAATTACAATGCCCAAAATTTACCCATGTGGCCATAGGCCATATAGCATTTGCGTCTATATTCGGTCCAAATAGCCACTGACTGTTGACCACAATCGTGTGCAGTTCATTTGCAGAAATTCGTAAAATCGTACCAAATCTTAGTACCTATTCGTTTATTAACCAAAAGCATATATTATATTTAGCAGTATATTATATTTTCCTGAAGCACTAAACTAGGACCTGATACTTATTTTCCAGAATCATAAATATTATTGTCTGTATAGAGTTGTTCCCGGTGTTCGGCAGTTATTACTCGATGGTGGATTAACACTCAGCCCAATATTCGGTATCTAGTTGGTAAAAAACGTCGGCCCTTATAAGCCCTCCCTAACCTAACCTTTATATACCCTCCAAGTCTTGCAATTTGGCATTGTGTACTTTGCAGAGTTCGAATTTAATAATGTACCCACTTAAACAGCACAATTTGTGAAATTTTGACATTTTCGTGATAGTAAGTTCTGTGGTAATAGCAATATCATAGAACAAGGAATTATTGTTTATTATTTATTAATTACCTGATATCATTGATTATTTATCAATTATTATTTATTATTTATTTCTCATACCATGAGCAATATTTACAGATACGTAAAAATTCGTATTTTTATATATCTGCGGCAATATCGACTGTTTGTCATCTATGTTTTCGGAAAATCTGATTTTTCGGAAACACGATGTGGTCACACTGTGTTTATCACTGCTTATGGTGCTGCAATGTACAACAGCATCAGCAGCTGTAACGACGGTTGAACTCGCAATTGAAGATACTAGTATTGTAGTTCTGTGCTTGTACAAAGCTTAATAATAATATTATCGTCTATTATTATTATGGTAGGTACCTTTAATCGGAGTTGTACTCAACTTTACTGATATAGACTCTTTACTCTTTTGTAAACCGCCATATTCATCAGTAGGCTTTTATCTATGATATTCATTATTCGCGGATAAGACGTGTTGTGATTTCTGAGTGCACCACTGCTGCGTTCGTGTCCCTTTGAATCTAAAAAATTTGAGGTCTTGCGGTTCAGTGTAACTTCCCGGCCTTATATTCTTGTCTATCGAACGTTGGTGGTGGATGAATCCGATAAACGCAAGTTTTGCGCGCGTCTTTTTCGGTAGTATATCGTTATTTCTTATTTATATTAACTTATAAGTATTAATATATAATACATTCGGGTCTCGTGATTTTCGTTGTTTCGTCTATCGCAGCTACATATATTTTGTAATTTTGTATCACCAAATATTAAATAATCGACCTGATACGTCTCCGTGAACAACTTATATTTCAGCGTTTGATTTGACCCAGTCGCGTTGTAATATTAAATTTAATCAATCGCGTTTTACACATCAGGAAGACCCCTGTATGTTTTAATTAGTTTCTATCAAATATACGTAGTGCCTGTGGCCCATGCCCATTTAATGCATTAGCGTTGTTCATTATGTTAGAAGATATCAAAAACATAATGAATTCTAAGAGGATCAACAACGATTCGAAGGCATCGTGTGCATTTGTTCAGGATACAAAAACGGGAGAGTTATATGATGTGAAGACTGACAGTGAAGTAAGTATTGTACATTTGTACCTATAGGTTACTATTCTGTTTTAAATTTGTAACTGTGATTTATTTGTTTTAACAGTTTCTCTTTGGGCGCTTGCTGAAATCCTCAATAGTAATTGAACAATTATACATTTCTCGTTCTCACTCTACCATTAGATATGAAAATGATCAATATCTCCTTAAGGACAATGTAAGTAAATATAAGTACCTACAGTTTTGTATTATCTTACTGGTATATAATACTGTTAGGAAAAGGGTGTATACCTCAACAAGTTGTAAGAGTATGTCTTACGTGAATTGTAACAAACTGGAACCTAAATTTTTGTTTAATGCCGAGTTAAGACCATGGTTAGTAAGATATAAAAAAACACTGACCGGTTTCAACTCAACAATTTACATTTACAAATAAAGAGAATACAACTATATATTATTTGGGCCTTATAGTTTATTATATATTTGATTTTATGATATCAACTTATAAATTAATAATTATTGATTTAAAACATCTTAAACTTTTCATGTATATAGGGTCATTGTATTACATTTCAAGCTTTTTAACCAAAAAAAAACAATTTTGACTTACGTTTATATGACCTTTTTCCCTTAGGTTTTTTAAATACATTATCATATTATAATAAATCATAATCATTATAAAAAATATAAGATATTATCTCACTGTCACCGTGGTCCGTGTTCAAAATTGTTTTGTTATTCTACATATTAAATAATATTGTTTGGTAAAAAAATGTTACTAGTCATGATCATAGACAAGTATAATATATTGATAATTATTAACCACATTTAAATCAAACCTGTGGTGTAGTAGTTTAAAATTTTGAACTATTTGATATATTGTGGTAAATAATCAGTTTCAAAAATATCTTCTTTCATATTCTCATTTAAAAACTCTAAGCATTTGTCTTACTAGATGTGCAAATGTAAAACTGGTGACATTTTTTCCTTGATTGATGTTTGTTGTTTTTTTATTTAAAAAGCTTCTAATATACAACTAAGGCAATTCAACAATTAAAATATTATATAGTATCTACAAAATAATGAATTAACAGTATATTAGCTATATAATAAGGCCAGCCTCTAATACAAAAGTAATAACAATTGAGGATATTGGGTGCAATATATCTATATCTAGAAGCAAAGTCTGCTGGTATAAATGTGTGACGGCATGGTCTGAATGATGAACAATCCAAGAAGAAGAAAAACTAGAAATTAGTATTTTTTGCATATGAATGTTTGCTATAGATTACTTGGGCAGATGAGGTAAGATTCAACTTTGTACCTTATAACTTTTTAGTACATTATCTAAAAACAACTGTTATTAATACATCAAGGTGATCTATATGTAAAATAAAACCTGATCAAAAAAATAGCAAAGCAAAGCTGGGTTATTCAACTTATAATAATATATAATTGTACTCTGTTAATTTGTGTACTTATGTAAATTGTTGACACTAGTTTATTTTACCGACCATGGCAGGGCATCTAAGCACAGCATTTTAAAATTTTGTTGTGATTTTTTCTCATTAAGCTACTACTAAGCTATAAATAGTATACTAGTATACAATATGTTCAAGATTTTTCACATATTCTTTCTAAAAACATTTATTATACAATAGTATCAATCACGAGTTTCCATTATTCCAACATTAATTGTGTAGTTTGATGTAATATGGCAGAGATGGCAAACTTATGACACTCTTAGGCTCTTTTAGTAACACACTCAACTTGATTTTTTATCATTCAAACCATGAATATAAGAATTTTTTTGTTAAAAAAAAGGCCATTCAATTATTTGACATGCAGGCAAAATAAAATTGAACAAACATTTTTATTTGACACGCGGGTACTGAAAGGTTTGCCATCTCTGTGGTATCTCATATGGTACACTCAATAATAAATATTTGTCAATCAACCCAAATAATACTTACAATTCTTATTTTTACATATTTGATTTTAAAATGTTTTCTTTTTCAGAATTCATGCACTGGTACATACTTGAATTACAAAAAAATTAAAGAAGAAGTTCCATTAACAAATGGAGATCTTATCGCCTATACAGATAAGTGTAAGACCTGGGATTTTGTTTACAAGTTCTGCTTAATATCAAATCCTAAAAAGAAATGCAGGTAAATTTATACTGAGATATCAATTTTGACCAAAATTTAAAATAAATCATCAATTTATTTTTTCCTAAATATTTAAAACAACCACTAATACTTTCAACTATTGAGTTTCTGTATATCCTGTATTTTATTTAAGATTCTGAACACGGTAGTAATAATGTGTTTTTTATTTTTGTCACCACTTTTTGGTTCTTAAATATGAAGGACGATGGTGGTTTCTGGTAGTATATTGGATAGAGCTGATACTTAAAGGAGTCAATATTTATTTAAGATAAACTAGAAAACAATTTATGGAAAAACAGGACAATTTACCACCAATTTTCTAAAAATTCATCTATCCTATTTTGTTGTATCTAATTTAAAAACAAAAAACTGTAGATACTTGAAATCATCACATCTCACCCCATGTAGTTACACCACTGATTTGTCTAATTAACAAATACTTTATAAAATTCATTAACTTAGCTTAGTTATAATAGTAATTTAAATAAAAGTAAATTTTAGTTTGTTAACATAAATTTGTTTATTGTTTTTTAAATGTATTTATGTCATATCTTGTAACATAACCAGCTTTATATTTATAACAGTAAATCAATTATAATTTCCTCTAAAGAATTCTGTTTCAAGATTGTATTTTATAAATAAATAGAAAAAGCTGGATGGATGACGGTATTATAAACCCTCAAGTTGCGCAGTTGTCTCATATCTGCAGAATATTTGTTTATTTTATGATAAATTGGCACATCAAAAATTTATTCTGAGTTGAGTTTCGATACAATTTTATTGAACTTGAAATTTCTTCTAACTTTTTTAGTGAATACTGATCAATATTCCCTATACTTGTGAAACTAATTTAAAAGTTTTTTTAAAAAAACTTGAGCTTTCTATCCAAAAAAGTTGTTTTCTGAAAGACACATTGCTAAACAAATAATAGCTTCTGAAACTATTAAACTCATACCTTCGGGTTCAGAATCTTTAACTTTGATAATTGTTTTAAAATATTTAAAGTGTTCATACATTTTCTGATAATTTAATGAATATATCTTTATGATTTTACTTTTAGATTAGAAGAAGAAAATTCTGCTGCCATGAGTAATGGCAAATTTAAAACCGTGGTAGAGCAACTTCAAAATCAAGTAAATGAAGTAAGTACTATTGATTTAAATAATATGCATTTCTGTACTCTCTTTTAAGTAAAACATTAATTGTAACCATGTTATACCTTAAAGTTAATACTGACTAAAGTATTAGGTTATGAATTAATAATATTCATTGGCTCGTTACACTTCTAATGTTCACCATTTTGAATTGTATCCCATTGAAATTTAATAGTTTAATTGATGACAGCTTTTATGCAGTATATATAAATTTGCATCCTATGCCTTATTGGCCTACAGTTTTTTTTTTGTAACATGCACTTGTGTATTATTTGAACTATAGCAAAAGTGATGTATTTGATTGTAATTATTAATGTACTTGTATTTTTTTGATTGTAGTTGAAAAATGATAAAGCAAATATTCTCAATGATGTCAACGCTCAAAGAGATGAATTTAAAAAATTGATTGATTATGCAACAGAAACGAATATCAAAATTAATAAAGAAATGATAAAAGTATGTAAAAAATTATAGTATACACTTAAGAGAACGTCATTATTGTGTGTTGTCATCTTACTAACGCATGACATCAAAATGTACATTTACCTGTTTCAATTTTGTGAGGTTAGCTTAAATATTAAGAGTGAACTAACCTTTTATCAGGTAAGAGAATTCTGTCTTCTGTTGTTGGGTTTTTGTCAGTAATCTTTACAAATCATAATAGTTTGAAGCTATGATAACTAATCAATTACTACGTGAACATTCATGCCATTACCTTAATCGCTCTTCAGTTGTAAATGAACATTTATATCCACTCATTTGGTATTTATTGTGATAGTAATATAGAAATTGAAAGCATGACATTATATGAAAGTTTTTTATTAATTTATGAAATATAAGAAAAAAATCAAGCTATTTCTAGATCTAAAATGGCAACATTTATAAACAATATTATATTACGGTCTTATCAATAAAAATAAAGGTCTGAATATACTATGTACTACAAATTAATGCAGTACTGTTAGGACCCAGTGATACTTAGATAGACATCAAACTGTCATTCTCAAACTTCAAAAGAAAGAAAAATGGAAATGCTTATTTTTTGAATAATATTAAATTAAAAATTAATTTTTCTTTATTTAATAGTTACCTATAATATTAACTATTAGTTGGGTAATTTGGTTAAAATTATTTTAAGTGATACATTTATAAACTAGTTAAAATAATTACCAAATAAAAATTGTGAATTTTTTATACATATTACATAATTTAAAGTTTTATTTGTTGTTTTTTTCCCCGATTTTGACTATATATTATATGCCATATTTTTACACCTTTAAGTGCATCTTTATTAGTTCTAAGTATGTAAAATATTAATATAAAAAAGTTCATAATTTACTTAAAAATTTAAATATCATAAAAAAATCGACGAGAAAACCGGTCAATTCACTTAAATATTTAAGCTAATAACACAAAATTGAAACGGCTGTCGGTACATTTTGGTATATTGTGAGTCAGTAAGACGAAGACAATACATGCGATTACAATATCCTCTTAATGAATGTAAATTGGTAAATACTGAATAAATTAAAAATTTCAGCTTCGAGAACACAATGAAACCCTAAAAAAAGAAGTGGATACATGTCAAACAGCTGTAAAAACGCTTGAAAGTAATATTGTAAAATTGTTTTTTAAGCACTTAAAATGTTTCTATAAATTTTACCTGTTGTAGCAGATATGACGAGTGATAAAGTCGCTAAGGACCAAAAACCTGCGGAGGAGTTAACAAGCAAAATTAATAAACTCTTAGAAAATGATTTTCAATGTGCTATTTGTAATGAAGTGATCATTCGGGTACAAGCTATTTGTTGATTTACTATTGTTATTATTATTAATTTTTTTTAAATTTTTTTTTAAAGCCAAGTTTAGCTAATTGCAATCATATTTTTTGCGAAAGCTGTCTCAGAACATGGTTGTCTAGAAGCATTTATTGTCCCACCTGTCGGAGTCAGGTGGTTACTACAACTTACTGTCTTCCCTTGGATAATTATATCACAAACTTATGTGATCTTTTGGGTGGAACAATAAGAGAACAACGTGTTGCTCTACAAACTGAAAGTAAGGCATTTTTGTGAATTATATCTATATTATTTTAACAACAATTAGGTTAACCTTTTCACTGCTATACTATTTATGCTCTGCAACCTGTATACCATTCATAAAATAAAATATTATTTTAAATTTCAATTTAGAGATCTATAGTCTGTCACTCGAGAAAAAGTCTCTATGTTTCGTCGAAATACTGTAATTGTTCTTGTGCATCCCCCACACCTCACATTGCCTTGTCCTCCCCACAACCCAATAACACAAGCCAGCCTCTAGTGATGTGTGACGGCACATTAGTTAGTATAATACACATGCCTGCTTTCATCTGTAGATTGCACGTAGAGGGTATTCAATGGTTTGGCAGCGGTGTTGAGCTCAGTCTACATGCGCAAAATGGTATCTTTCTCGTAGAACAGACTATATACGGTCTAATTTTTTAAGTTTAAAATAATGCGAGCTACAGTTTTCTAAAATTGTATAGTTTCCCGCAAATGATAATATTATAAGATACAAGAATGTAATATGCCTGGAGCAGTGAAAGGATTAAATTTATGTTAAGTTCTGTAATCATGTATTATTCAATGTAATATTTTATTTGATAGGAAATGGGCATCCACCTCAAGTGGCTAAAAGAGGTAGAAGAAAAGGGGGGGCAAATCAATCAAACCGCAGTAGAAGAGAAGTACCTCCATATGAACTAATTGATAGCGACCCAACCAGAAATAACCCTAGATTTTCTAACGGGCTGCACGGCGTTATCGAAATTGTAGATCTTACAAATAGTACTCGATAATGTTAGTTATTTCACATAATATTTTGAGCATACTGAAATGATTATTTTATATCTGATCGCTCATTTGCAACTTGAAAATACTAAATTCATAAGTTAATGAAATCTTAATGTATTCGTTTTTATTACAATGAGGCACCAATGTTCAAAATTTTTTTTTTATACTTAAGTTTAATTTAATATTAAATATAGACTTAAGAATCCATTAGAAACATATTCTTTTATATTAATAAAAAATGTTTAATAAAAGTATTCTATTATAAATATTAATTCTGTAATTCTGATATTTGTGTTAATAAACTTTTTTTTTATATTTACTATTTATTTGTGATTGACTATTTCTGCATTACAATAACATTTATTAGTTAATAAGGTATGAATTTAATCTATTACAACAATTTTCAGTTTGTATTCTTATACAACATTTTGATCTGTCTCCAGAATATGGAGTTATTAGTTTTCATTTAGGCAACAAAATAAATCTTTCTTGGTTCCACACTTTAATTATCTTTTTGAGGTTTTGGAATTGGATTACATTCTGTTTAATGTTTTTAGTTTATTTACAAGTTTTATTTTCCAATATTAAAAAAATGTAAAATAGGTTGTACCTACTTTTTATTTGATATCCAGAGCTCCATTAAAAATTATTGAGATAATATTATATTATTTACTATTGTATTATTATTTTAAACACTTGTCATTTATATTGTAATTTAAATATTTAGTGATGCATATTATGTTTTTTTTTTTACTGTATCTTTAGTGTATAAAACACATTGTTAATCAACACACTTCCGGTTGCCATGCTGAAACACACATACATTTAAATCATAAAAATTAAATAATTTTGATATTTTTGAGTTTAATGAAAATAAACTGTTTTTTTTGAATGAATACATATGTTACAGCTGCATTAAAAATATCCTTGGTCTTGCATTATTATACATACAAATATACAATATCATTATCTGCAGAGATCTGAGAATCTATAGTAAGGGTCTTTCGAGTAAAGATATTGTGAGTATTCAAATGTTGTACTTTAAATTAAAATTCTTTTGTTATTGCAACCTCCTGAATATTAACTATTTTTTTTTTATTGAGTTTTTTTTTGTCCGTTATTACTGAAGTAACTATCGATAACTACTCAACCCTTTGTTGATTTGGAATAAAATTTATTTAAATTAATTCCAGCAGGCTGTTAATTATAAATTTTTGATAAAGAATAATAATTTTTCGTTGTGTTATGAAAAAAAATAGGTACATTATTTATTTATACTTAGTTAAATCAAAAATCATTAATGTTTTGAGGTTTTATCTCAATTCTGAGTAAAAATGTGTTATATTTACTGATCGAGTTCATAATTTAAAAAAAAAAATAAACAACTTGTCCATACTAATAACTTATACAATATGTTACTACTGAGACTTGTTGGTATTCAAATACCTTTGAAGATTATGTACCTATTTACTTATTTTCTCTATTATTTAAGATGTCCTGGTTGATTTAACCTATATAAGTCAAGCAAGCTAATGCAAAAAATGTTTGGCTCTATCTTATTTTTCTAGCTCTTTGTTCATCAATCGATCATTTTACTGACTGGCCCAAAAACTTAACTCAAAATATATCATAGATATTAACATCTAAATTTAGAGATCATTTTTCTAGAAGTCCTTAATTTATAATGTGACTGAAAATTTAATTTGATCAAATCAGATAAAAAGAAAAGTAGTCGAATAAACAGATATAATATACAATTAGGTAACAAACAAAAATCATACTCTTAATACTACAACACTATTGCAAATATTTACCTATAGTTTATGCCACCAGCTTTAAACTTTTTATCTTAAATATTAAACTCATATACAATTTTTTCACATTTACCAGATTTATTAACAACAATTACAATACGTTATACATACACATGGCGTGTACAGTGCAAAATGTATTATTCTAATTCTAAGTGTGTGAATATTTTTCATCGAGTGACGATGAAAAGGCACATACCTCAAACCATTTTCAATACCTATTGAGGTGTGTGCTTGAAGTTGATCTCCTGCTTTTGGCTTTTAAATATAATCATATTATACTTAAAATCAACAGCTGACAAATATTATATTTTTCTAAGTGTCAAAAGTAATATAGTCATTTTTTTTTTTAATAGTCATTTGGTGATAATTATTTAATTGGATTAAAGTTCTATTTCGTCTCACTAATATTTTTTTATTATTCAAACATTATAGAGGCAATAACAGTGTCGCGAGTTATTAATTTCTTGGACCCGCTTTTATTATGTTCTGTTCAAAGTTTATCAGATGTTTCTGAGTAGTATTTGAAATTGACTGGCTAACATGGCAATTTGGCATACTTTTAAAGTTTTTTTTATCGATATATCCATTAAAACATAATCAAAACGTAGCAGCCCATCATGGCACCATTCATCAGTATAATGCCACTTGGAACATATTGCTTGACAGGGTATGAGATAGTCACCAAAATCATTTTCTTTTGCTAAATTGATGAAGATATTTTATGAAATGCAGTATTTCTATTTTAACTAGAAGTAATTGTGTTTAGTTGAAGTTTTTTCCCGTTTAATTTTTTAAGAGTCTTCAACCCGAACCTTGTCCAAAACATTATTCTTAAACAGTTAATTTGCATATTAGATTACTTCCCAATACGTATATTCATCATGTATATGCTTTCAATACAAGAAGTAAGCCAAGTTGGAAGTTTAGTTTTAACAATTTTTCAGAAATATGAATAATTGTATACTTATTTGATTGACATCTTGTTAGCGGAATATTTACAAAAAAAAATCAAAACACAGTTGAAATTTATGAACTCGAGTAAACAACACACAAATAGGAAAACAAACAGCTAAACACAATTAAGTATAAACGTGATTTGCCTAACCGAATCATGAATCAATGTCTACAACAGTAATACAATGTTATTTCCTTGAACTAAAATGTACCAAAACATTTTTATTGCAGTTTTATTGCTAGGTGTAAGAACTAACGTCACGGTTATAAATATACATTTTTCTTTTTTTTTTTATAAAGAGTAACAATGTTCACAATGATGAAAATCAATAATAATATAATAGGACTAGATTAAAAACTTAGATTGTAATAAAAGTTCAAAATTAATAACGAATACCAATAAATTAATACAATGATAATATTTTAGGTTGACTGTCATTAGTCCACATATTATTAGTAACGTTCTGGTTTCTGTTCACTCTGACTAAGGCCATTCTTAATGCCAGGTATACTATGTCTTTGCGTAATACTACTTTTTTTCTTTAGTTCGCACAGCAAATGCTTGTTGTGGTCTTCAACAAAATCTAGCTTTTCGCATATTCTGGCATTTTCTTGCTGCAGTTTGACCATCTTGTCCAAGACCATTTTCATTTCAACTGAAGTGTCGACAATGTTTTTTTTCTGTAACTCTTTAGTGAGCTCAGCCACAGTAGTTTTGAACTTCCGTTTAGAAACGTGCAAATCATCTTGAGTGAGTTCCAATGTGGTTTTCAAGTCTGCTATCATTTGCATTTTATGCGCCAAATGACTGGCTAGTTCTTTTTTGTCACAGTCATAAAGCTCTTTTTCTTTTGCTATGCTATCCTCTTGTGCTCTGAAAGCAATCTTGAGATCATTGTTTTTTTGTTTTAATATATCACAGTTGCTTTTTAATCTGTCTAAAGCTGTTTGTAAATTTAGACATTCCGACTGCAGCGATGCATTCCGCGAACTCAAACTTTCTGTAAACACAAGCAATTCGTTGGTTTTGATTTCACAACTTTTCATATAAGTTTTAAGGTCAATATTTTCATTTTCCAAAGAATTAACAGTACAAGTGCATTTGGTTAGTTTATAGTTCAGCTCTTCTATAACACTTTTTAATTTGTTCACCTCTTGAAGTTGTTGCTCAGAACATTCCTTTAAATCCAAATACAATTTACTGTTCAGTATAATCTTTTCTAAATTACTCTCTTCGTTAAATGATTCATTTTGTTTGGTCAACAATTCCAATCTATTCTGCAATTCTTGTATTTCGTGCAATAATTTACTTTCTGTTTCATGTGAACACTTTGACTCATGTTCATACTTGGTCTTCCAGAATTCTAAGTCTTTTGAAATCTTTGACTTCTCATCTTTGAGCAAGTCAATTATAGTCTTGTATTCCTTGATCTCTCTATTTTTTGTTTCTATTACGCCCGTACAACTGGCCACATCTTTGGAGTTGGCTTTCAACCGTGCGATCTGCTTATCCCTTTCCTTCAGATTGTCCATCAGTTTTTTTTTTTCGGTGCTCAGGTCTAGTATTTCCTTTTCCTTGAGTACGTAGCGCATGAAAGCAGCTTCCTTCTCGTGCTTGGCTGTGTCGTACATCTTCTTTGAAGACTGTAACTGCGATCGCAGATCGCTGACATCTGTCAGATACTTGTGCTCGTTGATGGCCAGCTGTCGCTGATAGTAGTCAAGCTCATCCCGTTGCTGTCGGACAACATCGCCAAGTACTTTTAGCTGGTCTTCACTGACTACTTCCACTTGATCTTTGTTGATAGTTTTATGCTGGTCTTCACCGAGTACTTCCAGTTGGTATTTGTCGATTGTTTTCAATTGATCTTCAATGGTCGTTTTCAGTTGACATTTTTCAAGTACTTTCAATTGATCCGCGCTTGGCGAGCAATTCTCGTTCTCTTCCTCGTCATCGTCCACCACCTGGTTGCTGTCGACGCGATCGCTGTTCTCGGCCGTCTGTGAATCGTTCGCAATGTCCGGGACTTCCATGTTCGATCAACGGACAACGGCTACCGACGACTACAGCGTGACGTGTCAACGTAGCGCGCCATCAATGTTTCATCGTGAAACAAACTTTCCGAGTTTCCGAGTCCCCGAAGATATGTCACCGTCTGTTCACAGTTGTTGTATCGCCAGACTGGCAGACTGCAGTCGTGTAGTTACTTCAATATTTGTTGTTTTAATCACGGTTCCCGAGCGCGCGAGCTCCGGTACCGATAACGCATCAACGCGACAGAGATAACGTCCGAGGATGCCGAGTGGTTATCTCGGCGGAAGTCCACGACCGCAGTAGCTGCATAGAATACACTCGCGCAGCGTCCGTGTCCGATTATTTTGTAGTGGTCACACTAGCAACGAGAGACAGATTACGGCTGAGCAGCCTGCTGACCAATATTCAGAACGCACCCGAACACTGGCCCGGGACACGCCTACTGCTAGATAAATTTTATAGCACCAAACAGTCCTCCCGGAGCGGAAGCGTAACTGCGCAAAAGCCACGTACTCGTCGGGCGCGCAACTACCGTCGCCGCGCCACCGGTCACCGGCCGCCGCTAAACCGCTTAACCGCTTGTTGTTCGTTCGCAGACAGCCGATCGGCGATTTCCGAGTTTCGTTCACTGATCAGTCGGCTGTCGTCACCACCACTCAGCCGCTCGTCCCTGCTCCGCCTGTCGTTTGCCACGGTCGCCTATCTATTTTCAAACGAACCGCTGTTCGTTTTCTCGAGTCTCGTCGGTCCCATTGACCTGTGGATTCTCCTTTTTCTCCTCATCGACACGACCACAGGTGTGAGTACCAGGTAGTCTTTGTCTTGACGACACCCCCCCCCCCTCCGCCGATACCGACACGACCTCGGCCGAGTTGCGTTTTTCCACCGATCTGAGACGCGGGTTTCTTTTGCACGCACGTTTCTCAATACGCTTTTCATTCGATTTTTCACTGCTCTCTCTTTCGTTTCAGCAGCAGCAGCAGGTAGCAACGTGACACGGTCGTTGACTGCCCCGAAACATTGAGACGGCGACGTTACGCGGATAAGATCAACGACAGGAGCCCACGAGACGAATACACGTCCGCCATGTCTTCTTCCCTATGCTTGTATTACATGAGAGGATCATGCCGATTCGGCAACCGCTGCTGGAATTCGCACGATCTGGGATCCGTCCGCTCCAACAGCCCGTACATAGTTCAAGGTAATTGATCCTCCGCGCGCTTGTGCTATTCCGGTTCCACAAAGATAACAACGACAACAACAACAACACAAAGTGTGAAATACCTGTTGTACGCGATCCTCTACATTGTTCGCGGTAAAATGTCCGTCGATGACGATAGTTATTATAATTTTCGCTCCCTTTCTGTCATAGCTGTCTGCATGACATCGATCATATGAATGTGGCAATTTTTTTTTTCGACCATAAGTTAATAGATTTTGAAAATTTTACCACCGTTTATGTAATACGATGGTGTTTTATACGACAATCGATTAAGATTAGCTAATATCCTAAAATTGAACCTGGAAATGTATAGAAAAATTATCATTTTGGCCCGTTCAATTTAAATTTGTTTTTTCTGCCATCCTAAATTCATACCCTGTAGCCTTACAATCCATCACTCATGCTCCATGGAATGTAATCAACTGTTCCATATACAATTAATATAATGCCAAGTCAATAATCAATTGACCCAAAAAATTAACTTCGGATTTCACTCATTAAAATCTGAAAAAAATGGTGAAAATAGCAAATAAATAAATCAACAATTCAATGTAAATACATAAAAATAAAAAATTAATTTTTTTAAAACAGGTGTTAGGTCTGGTAGGTACAGTGGTAAGTCATGAAAAAAAAAATTGTAGGTATATTTCTCCGTATGTTCTTTGTAAACTTTGTATTGTGCCAAAACTATATTTTGTCTATAGCTTACATATTTTTCTGAACATGCACTATGCCCATACTGCAACTTGTATATCTACAGATAACAATGGGAACTTGTCAAAAGATAAGTTATTTTTAGGAAACTAGATAAATATTTGAATCTTTTTGTATGATACCGATATATTATGGTATTACGGTCAGTTAACTATTGTAGTATATTTTTATCCCACCTAACCTAACCTAGGGTTATATGTGTATTGTATGCATATAATAGTTGCCTGCCATGTTAGATAATGGAATACAATAAAAATAATTACTTTCTAATTCCTAGATCATTATATTCTTGATGGGTATATAATTATTATAATTTGATTGACTATACTGGCATATCGCACATCAATTGTTTTTTTTTAATAATAATATTTTGTTATATTTATTTGTATATTAGATACGTCAGATGATGAAGGCAGCTTTGTTGTTGCCATAGGAAGAGAAACTACTCCAGTGACAGCTTCACCAAGTAGTAGTGCTTCTAGACCCAGTCAAAAAAATCAAGTTCCTCCCAATTCAGCAAATAAGTATGTTTTTTTTTCCTTCCCTTAGTTGTCCTTATTTATTAATTATTTTAAATTTAGGTCATCGGAATCTAAAGTAACTGCATCTCAAGATAAATGGAGCTTAAAAAGTAATCATATTATTTTTTTTCTTTTACTGAAATTGTATTAAATAATTTAAAAAAAAATTGATTTCAGATAATAATACTGGGGAGGCACGAGATGGTTCACCCGATAGTGTACTTGTAGAAACTGTAAAAAAATTAAATGAAGCTGAAAATTTGGTAGTATCACTTCGTCAACAGCTGCGTGTTAAGAATGAAGAAGACAATTTCTCTTGGATTGAACATCAAATGGAACAATGCCTTGAAACTGATTTACAATGTAATATATGTTACGAAATGTTCATCAAGGTAATATTACTAATTAAAATTGACAAAATACACTATAATGACTGGCCCAATTAGTATATAACATATCAACAAAATGCCGCCCGATAGGTCCCCAAACTACTAATCAATACTTAACTACAATTTATATCAAGCTAATTATTTCCGCTTTTGTTAATATAATATTCGTTTGTACATTAATTAACCTTGTTCTAAAGAAGAAAGTATTAAAATGTATATAATATTAGTACAAGTTTCCCAATAAAATAATCATCCAAATATCAAACACATTTCTACTAAATAAACTTACCTACTTAAAATATAAACATTAATAGATTATATAATATCATTTAATAGGTACCTACAGACCAATTTCTATATGGTGTTGAATAACCTATACATCTTAAATTATGATACTTAAGTCTTGGCAGCTAGCCAATTTGGACCAGGAAAGTAGCCCAAAGCTACCATAAAATCTAGGGTTGAGTAAATGCTTACTCCTGCCCCTCCCTCTTCCAAAAAAACGAATCCCCTAGATTATTATAATGTCACCTACATTGATTGACTACATCCCACCATAGACGCCAATATAATCATTTATTACTCATTATTTTAATTTAGATTTGACACACTAGTGCCGCATAATGGCAGGATGTTAATAAATCCTTATTTCCCACCTCTCCTCACAATGTACCACTAGTGAATTAAATCAAAGTTAAAATAACGAGTGATAAATTAATAATTATTGCACTAATGTTGACTATCAATAGTGTTATTTAATCTGTGGGCTTACCTAATGTGTAAAATAGCGAATGTACATTCTGAAGAATTAATTTTATTCTGTTCTCTTTTGTACTATAGTGAATTAATCTATTATCAAATTGTAAATTTAAAAGTAAGAGTATTGTCCTAAACCCCAATTAGGCTACTTACAGTTAAAAAATATACAAATCCTATGTGTAACCCAGAATAATATTCTTTCCTTTAAACTTGATAATAGGTTGATTTAATCTATTATTAAAAATAACAGTATGGTGGATTATTCTTGAATTATATTTGGCTATGTTATGCATTATTTAGACTAAGATTAATCATGTGTGGGTAAGACGTCCTTTAAAAAACCCTGATTCTTTATTATTCACAGATGTAATTGAATAGTTTTTTTTTTTCGCAGCCAACTGTGCTAAATTGCTCTCATACATTTTGTCATGAATGCATAGAGTCATGGACCCGAAGAGTTAATCACTGCCCAACATGTCGAGTTTATGTTAAAAATAAATCATACTGTCTAACTTTAGATACCTATTTGGACAAAATGGCTGACTGTTTACCAGATGAAGTAAAAACAAGGAGGGAAACTCTAAAAGTTGAACGCAACAATAACAGAGGTAATACATCTTGTAATAAACAAAATATAGTAATAAGTAATATTTGTTATACTATAACATAATATTAATAAATATAGTAGAAGTGGTTAGCAGAAGTCGAAGAAATAATGCAAGGAGAAGAAGCCATAGAAATCATTCCATGCGTCAAACATTGGGTGTGTTATGGGGTGAACGTGATAGAGAAGGTGCGGAATGGAATATTGCTCTGGAAGAAGCACTATTTGATCCAGTACGTTTGGGCGATGTACTTGGTAGAAATAGAGATGATAGGGACGAGTGGGATGATGAATTGTCTGATACTACCCTAGACAGGTACTACAATTCATTATTTTATTAATTCATAAGATTACACCTAGCTATGCTCAACCTATGAATGCATTGAATAAGTAATTCTCTTGGTGTATCTTGTCATGTACAAATTAATAAGATTCATTGACAAATCATATATTAATTTACTAGAATGAATTTTAATATTATTATTATAAATTTGGTAGTTAAGACTAACAGACACTACTCATTTGAATAGTAAATATATATATATTATATTGAAATGTGCACAAATTGAGTAAAATTTGTACTTTTTATGATACTGTACCACAAATTGCACATTTTATGTTAGATTATACCTAAAATCAATGCATGAATTATGTTTGTTTAAAACATAAATCCTTTGTTAATGGTAGTAACTAAGGATTTCATTCAATACTTGTTCCTTTTTTCATGTATTGACTAGGGACTGGATTTTAATGTCTTAAAAAGATCAAAAATTAATGTAGAAAATAATAAAAGTTGATAGTCGATGTTATTTAATAAATATTATGATTTTCAAGTCTCATCTTATTGCCAGGTAAGTTATGATAGTATAAAAAATGATTTGATCAGATGTTAAAAAAAAAACGATTTTTAATGCTTATAACTAGATCAAGTTTCTTTCTATCCCACATTTCTTGAAAAATTTAAATACACTCAAACATTTTAGCATTTGAATCACATTTTTAGTTTGGAAAAATTGTCCTGTTCAGTATTGTGGAATAAATACGCAAATGCATTAACATCCAAGCCCCGGTACTGACATTATTTACTAACGTATTTTAACGTAGTAGTTGTATTTGTATAACTTTGTGTACTGGAATAATATTTGGTTAATTTTATTTGTTGTCAAAAATATGAATTATTTGAACTTTTTTGAGGGTTTTTTTCTTTTAGAGAGAAACATTTTATCATGTTTATACATTTGTATTTTTTACTTAACAAACATTATTTTACTTTGAAATTGATAAGCTAACAAATTTCAGAGCAAACAATATTGACACAAAATTATCTTCTCTACAATGTATGTAGTCTGTAGTGAAAATAATTTAATTTCAGAGTGGTTTTTAATGTTTCCTGCGTTAAGTATAACGCAAAACCCCACCTCAAGTGCATTCTATTTGAAATTGTTTTTTTATTCTGTGGAATAAAATCTAAGTAAAATTAACAGATGGTGGAGTATTACTTCATTGTTTTTTTTCCATAGTGATACTATAATAGTAGTTATTGTTTTCATAATAACACCATTAAATCCATAAAGAGGACACAATTCCCACATTTATTAATCCGTCTTACAAATGTACAACATAGCAAAAGCTGTTTTGCACGGGACAACTATACTCTCTGTGTTTTTACAATAGAATTACCGAAATTCCAAAATGCATAGGGAAGAAACTTATTTGTGTCGTAAGTGTTTTTTACTATTCAGATAACATAAATACAATAAAAATTATCAGATTGATAACAATTATTGGTTAGTGCCATCAAATAAATAAAATGCTATGACACAGATAAAGTTCTTCCATATGCTTTGTCAAATTTTGGAATTCTACTATAAATACAGAGGGAGGGAGCATAGTTGTTCCGTGCAAAACAGTTTTTGCTATGTTTTACATTTGTAAGACAGACAACATATGGGAGTGTAGCATTCTCTTAACGATAAACCTAACAAATAATATTACATTTTAATTAAATACTCAATTAAATTAAATGATTCTAACAAACAAAATAGTTAATAAAAATAATCATTCCTTTAATATCTAATGTGCAAACTATGTTTTTTTGTTTAGTTAAATATAATATGATCAAAATTGCATTTCTATACTGATAATATAATTTAAAATACATTTAAAACAAATAAGCAATAAACACTTATTAAAGCTGTTACATTTTTGTATTTTCTTAACACACCAATGAGTAATTTAAAATTAAATATCTAAATAAATCTAAAGCACAGGGTCTGGCAGGGAGATTTGACAATTTTCAAGCACCAATAAATCATTTAAAATTTTAGTTTTTCTAAAAATTATGCTATTACATAAAAACTAACTTAAGAGACCATAACAACACTACTGTACTCCCATGGTTATGACTGGTTTAGTTAATGCAAAAAGACTTATTATATGTTTTATAAATTTGTTTAGTAAGAAGTTTAATTAATTAATTAACCTATTTATCCATGAAGCATATTCTCAATATTTTAATTTTTAAGCAAGTTGTAAGTTTGTAATATATTTCAATTAAAATAATGTAAAGAAAAAATATGTTATTTCCTAACAGTTTAATAATATGCCAATTCACTATGATATTAAAGCTAACTACACAAAATTAAACTTACTATGTGTCTATGTTTGCATATATAAGATTGAGACAACATGCGTGTATGCATGTTGTTGGGTTTGCATCTTATGTTTTTAAATATTATTGTCGATCAAATCGTTTTTTTTTTTTAAACAAATTATGGGTTTGAACATGACTAAATAGATACGTATGGCCATATTTGTACTGTTACGCACATTTCTTTGCAGACCCAGTCTACTGTATTCATAATAGCAATACAAAATTATATTTTAAACACTCATTTAATTTAAAATTATTATTTTCGATTCTATTACTTTTTTTTGAGTTTATGACTCAATTACCTTAGTGTTAGGTTGTGTATTATAGTGTTATATTCATATATTATACTGACACCAAAATTATTACAACAAATTAAAGAACGAAAACTAGGTTGAAGTGGTGTGCTAGTTTGAATGAGATACAGATGTGATCATACCTATCTATTTTATCACGAGTTTGAACATGTTTGTACACGCTGTGAGGGGTTATGGTGGATTGATCATGACTAAGGGTCAGATTTTTATGATTTTACATATTTGTTTCTAGTCTATGCAGTTAAATGGGAGTGAGTAATCTTTACGAATCATTAACACAGAATTCACAGGAAAAACATTTATTTTGCTTAAAAACATATTTTAGGGGTTAGAGAATGTTTGAGAATATTTTTGTAATATCCGGCATATAATGAACATATTTCCCGTGTATCAGCACATTGATAAATACAATGTTCACTAAATGATTTATTTCTGGATTTTAATAAAACTTAATCTCCAGGTATTCCTTATTGATTACGATAGCACATCGGTTATTTCGTTAGCTGTCATGACTAATCATCGAACAATATATAGTTATTAAATGTCATTGTAAAATTAATTTAATTAAATGTATTTAAAACCAAATTAATAAAAAATAAATTTAAACTGATTTTTTTAGTCCTAGAGTCATTACCGTACAATTTTTCTTAGAGATAAATTCAAACAATAAAAAAAAGTAATTCATTTAAAAGAAAAAAGAAATAATAAAATATTAATATCACCTCTTGAGTTTCTTGTCTAAGCTACTGGATTTGAATAATGTTAAAAGTGTTTCTTTGCTAATCTTAAACTGTGAGATTCAATATTTTTTGAAGAAAAACTATTAGGATAATAAAAGTCTGGGGAATTTAAAAAAGGTAAAATTAGTAACTTGCTGTTAATCTTCAAATTGCATGTTTTAAATTTCAACAATTTAGTTCATTAAAAATCCAACTGTATATTTAAGTAAAAATACATTCTTTTAACCCAGCGATTCTCAACCTTTTTGAGTTCGCAACCCCCTATAATGTCACCAAGATGTCCAACGACCCTTTTATAATGTAAGCATTAAAAAATTGAACCAACTGTTATTATTGTATTTATTTGTGTATATATATTTCACAAAAAAAGGTATATTATGTACACTTCAATGAACGTTTTTATCGACTACCGGACTATCCAAAAATATATATATGTATATTATAACACTTACAATTAATCATAAGATTCTAAGTGAAACAATTTTTTTCCCACATGGATTGACGACCCTAAAATAATTGTTGGCGACCCCCCGGTTGAGAACCGCTGTTCTAACCCTATATATTTTAAATAAAATATTAAGCTATCATTTTCACTAAACCCTTATACCAAGAAATTTAAAAGGTTTAAAAGTTGTTTGATGGTAGTGGCTAGTAGATTATTTATATTGTTTAAAAAAAACTGAAATATGTTGTTTTTTCCATTACATTTTATTTAATATCTTTATTCGTGTGTTTTTTTTTCCGGTCTTCAGTTATGAGTTCTTTTGCTCTTATTGTGACAATATGGGCCACTCAGCTTCCAACTGCCCCATATCCATAATGGAGGAGACTGGTGAAATATGGTAGAGCTAACCGCTTTTTTCTACTATCCCGTTATTTGCTTGCAATGAAGGCACATTTTCCTAATGCGCTTTTTTCTGGGACTATATTTATATATCATTTTTTTTACATATATATATATTATATTATAAATAAAAATATAATATTTGTAATGTAACTGTTTTAATTATTAGAAGTAGTTTATGTCATAAATCGGGGTAAACATGTTTCACTCATTTTTCCTCAACTTATATTTATTAATTGTTAAGCTAAGATGATTAATTTATGGAATTGATGTATATTTTTTTTAATTTATATTATTCAGGTCTTTATAATAATAATATAATATAAAATAAATTAAAATATTTCTTATAAACATTAGTAATACAGCTCTACTTTTTCCGTACTTTAGTTATTTGTTTGCTTACATTTAAATGTGTTTGGATTAAATTTTTTTTGTCTAGTATTTTTTTTTTTTTTTTTCATCGTTATTATTAGAAATTATGAATTAATAATACTATTATGTAAGGTAATTATATTATTGAAATTCATTTTGTAAAATTATTATATTTATTTTCTGATTATGATGCTTAATAGATTTGTACACCTATTCACAATTAAACAAAACTCGTTAATTATTACTTTTTTTTTACACATATGACACTTGTATTAACATGCACAGTTAGCTTTCAATAGTGAAATTTTCACTATTTTCAAAAGTTAAGTTGTATGTTGAACACTGCTGAGCTTATAAACTTAATAACACTTAATAAACTAATTTTATGAATTATATAAAATTTAAGATAACCTTAGTATAACATGAATAATATTCTCATATGTGAAGATTTCTGCTCGTCTTTATTGAGAAATCTTTTGGAATAATACATTTATTTGTGTCTAACACGCATGGGTGCGTGATAATCTGAAGAAACCGACAATTTTACTACAATCTATATTAATCTAAATATATATTTTTAAATAGCAATGTCTAACCAAAATGTATTTTTCACGCAGGTAATTTATTATTGTTGATTGTCATTAAATTTTTAACAATTGAAATAATTAATATCGTAATTTGACAATTTGAGATACCTAATTAGGATAGCCTACTACGTAGATTGTGGAGAATCAAAGTTCTGCTTAACAATATTAATTCATAATGTTTGTATTTGTGTGTTCATATTTTTAAATATTATATTGATATTTAACTATAACAAAGAAAATTAGTTTTTCAATTTAAAATCAATGATGATTACTCATTAATTGATTGAACATTACAATAATCATATAGAATCAAATGTTGTATAATAATAATAACAATTGATTTTCTAAATTTCAATTTTTATAAATGTTTCAGATATTTTGTAATACAATAACTGACTTGGAGATCGAATATCAATTGAGTTGATGTGTATGATTATGGTATACAATACAAATAACTAAATTAAAATCAAATGCTTACTGAGGTAACACTACCAGTTACGTGCCTAGACTTACTTAGTTAATAATAATTGTTCAATTTTTTCCTGTTTTTTTATGCATTTGGTTATTTTTGTGTAATTGTAACTTAATTAATAATATTTTTTTTTTTGTTAATTATCTGTTCTTTATCTGTTGCATTGCTAGCAGAATTATTTTGTCTCATTTTTTGATGCGATTTGAACATAAGAGTAAGTTTTGATTTTATCGGGAAAATGATTTTTTCCTCAGTTTTGATTTTCAACATGATGTTTAATTTTTAAGACCAACTACTATTATTGTTCTCCTCCTTATTATTTTTGGGGACAAATATTATTGATTTATTATTTTTTTTTTTATTAATTAAGCTTGTTTATCTAATTATTACTATTATATACTTTTTTTTCCTGCGGGATGGTAATTACTTACAATAATCAAGTTTCAAAACTTATGATTGTTTTTTTTATTTTTGTTTGTTTTTCTAGAGACACACAATGGAATTGTCTAATGAAAACCAATTTTAGAACTATTTTATTGTAAAAAAATTTTTGCGTAAACATAATACAGCCAATAATACACAGAAATGGTGTGATGTGTAATAAAGATTGTACTTGATTTTAATACAAAATGTCTCATAAAATAATATTTGCATATGTATCAGAGTTGGCCTAAGAACCGCTCAACACGGTAGGTATCTTATTTATTCAGCTCATTACTCTATTTTTTGCTGTTCGTTCGAATACTGTTATGATCAGTTGATTATAACCTAAATGTTTTAACACATTGACAGCAGTATAATATTAAAAAGCAACAGGTATTTATCATTTGAAACAGCTAAACTTGTACAAAATATGGGTTGATTATTTTTCATCATAAGTGCCTGTCTTTGACCAATGGACTCAATAGCATTGCAAATCTCACAAAATCATTGTCCGATATATTTGTTGTATTGTATATGTTCAATCTTAAATTGTACATTGAATACATTTTTAAAATCAAAGTAATTTGCAAATGTTCGTGGGTTTCGTCAAAATTTGAAATATAAATTCTTAAAAAAAAGTCTATTTTTTTGAAATTCTATTACATAAATTTATAAGGAACTTTGAATTATATTTTTAGTTTTTTTGACCAACTTAAAAATTATTTATCGCCTGTAATTTAAAAAAAAAATCAAAAACCTCTCACTCTCCTAAAAAAAATTTAAAAATATTTTGAAGAGAAAAAGAACTAATAAACATTTGGTGAACATTTAAGTATCTACAGTTCTTAGTTTTTGAGGCAATCAAATAAAAACTGGTTTTGGGTAAAAATTACTGTTTTTATTTTTGACCCCCCCAAAGTGCCAACTAAATTCACTTTCCTACCAGAAAAAATGCTGAGGTGAAATATTGAAAAACTTTTTATGCCCCAAAAAGTGATGATAGACAAAAAAAACATCATTCTATGATCAGTAAAAATTATTTTTTAACATTAAATGTTATACATATTAAATCTATCGATATCACACAGTGTAAAAGTATACTATAAATACTCGTTTTGAGCTTCGGAATATGAATACAGAACTAAGAATATAAATGATAAGTTAAAAGCACATTAATGAAAAGCTTCCTCTGCCTACCCACTAAGCAGAACTATTGCAATTGACTGTAAATGATTAATGGCAAATGTAAATAATACCACAATAGTGTGCATATATTTAAAACAATAATTTGTCAGATTTTAAAAATAGTCCGGGGCGTTTTGATATTCAAAAAATTAACCTTCGACGTCGTCTTAATTGATTTGACAAGAAAAACCATTATTTAACCCTAGGATTTCTTCATATCGGTTGTGACTTTTTGGAGAAAGTTGCAGTTAAAGAGATTGCCTTGAAAATACCAACTACACTAGTCTCGCTGATCCGGCCGTTGCTAATGAGCCCAATTTATATTTTGTACTTTAGTATTTCCATATATTATATACATACACATGTATTTATAGCATAATTACCTCAACGAAATAGGAATTATTCAGGAAGTACTATAAGTAAGTTGAAAAAAAATCATTCTGTTTATCCGGATGGAGTCTGGTCCCATCTAGTCCAGATCAATAAGACTACTGTACTGTGAATAAATTACCATGCCAAAAATTGTTAAGAGAAAGCCACATGGGCATTTGTTGTTTCCGCCTTACAAATGTACATGGCAAATTTTAAGTTTACAATAATATATTTTACTCAGCAAAGTGTTTCTTTATTTCTTTAAAAGCATGCACAGCATTGTTAAATGACCAAAATTTTAGCATAACGGAAAACATTTGCTAACACATTAAAATAATAATTGAGAAGTCTTGTTGTCGAAAAATATTTACCATAGCATAAGAAATACTTGAAAAAAAATGTTGTCAACATATTCTACCTTGAGGAATACTCTGGACTGAAATGTTAGTGATCTATAGAAATAAGTTATACACAAATAGGTTTTCCATCGTTTTATTTGATACAAAACAATGTAAATCATGTCTTTAACATAAAATTAAACATCCGCCCTGACGTTCTGGACAACTTTGTGACATTTCGAAAGATGGTCAGCAAACTCGGAGTAAGGGGTCTTTTTGAGTGGTACATCCTTCCACAAATCGGGTGTCAAATAAGCGTACGTCTTAGCAATAGCAGCGTATGTAGCCTTGGCTGTAATAACAAAACAAATAATTAATACAAATAATCTTTGGCTAAAATTTAAGTATAAAAGGTAATATTTTTTTTTTTATCTTTCTGTCTTACCGAAATTGCCAAGAGTACCAGTGGAACCACGGGCAGATGTGTAACAATCTTCAATTCCAGCCATTGTCAACAGCTTTTTTGGAACGGGAGCACTGACGATTCCAGTTCCTCTTGGAGCTGGAATCAAACGCACAGCGACTGATCCACACTTTCCTGTGACCTGGATGTGAAAATTAACCAAGGAAACAGATTAATAAAAGTCAAGACATTCTTGAACTAAATCAAAATATTTTTAAGTGATCATACTTTGCAGGGTACTGTGTGTGGCTTTCCAATTTTGTTTCCCCAATATCCCCGTCGTACAGGAACTACTGACAATTTAGCCAAAATGATAGCACCTCGAATGGCTGTTGCTACTTCTTTTGAGCATTTAACACCCAATCCAATGTGTCCGTTGGTATCACCAATAGCTACAACATAATCGCATTATGAATGTTATTTTGACACAGATTTTTATTGTTCTAAATGAATATTTAACATTTATAAGATGCCTGGATATTTTCTCTAAATGTAAGTTAATCAACTAACTTAGATTAACATAACTTAATGATTAAATGAACAGACAGTAAAAATAAACGTATAAAACAGTAAGAATAAAATATTTAGCTGAATAAAAAACAATGTTCAATAGGTTGAAGAAAAGGTTTATAATAAGGTATCAATTTATTTCACTTTGTCATAGTTGAATAACCACAACACTTTAACAGTTATCGACAAACACTATCGTCATTAATATAAATCATACATACCAACAAAGGCCTTAAACCTGGTACGTTGACCAGCACGTGTCTGTTTCTGGACGGGCATGATTTTCAAAACTTCATCATTAAGAGCAGAACCAATGAAGAAGTCAATGATTTCGAATTCCTAACAAACACATACAATTAATAAACGTTATAGCCCACAAGCCAGGCGCTCCTCTACGCTACCAAGAACGTAAGGGTCTGTCGAAAGAGAGAAGCCGGAGACAACGACCGAGCTTACCTTGATCGGCAACGAGAACAAGTAGATCTCTTCCAACGAAGCGATTTTGCCATCCTTTACCAGACGGCCAAGCTTGGTGACTGGCACCCATTCCTTTTCTGCTTCCTTGCCTCTGCCACGGCCACGACCGCGTCCACGTCCTCTGCCTCGGGACCCTCCCCTGCCAAATCCGCCGCGGAAGTTACCGCGAGTCTCTGCCATATTTAACTGCAATCAAACACCAATGCGGTCTTAAATGATATTCGTATTCGCCACACGTCACGCCACACACGCCGTCACGGCGCAAACACGCTCATCGGGTGACGACATTTTTGAAAGACCGGACGGCACGCCGAATATCAAGCGATTATATGGCAGGTGAATACAAGAGTACAAAACTTACCTTTGTTGAAACGCCGTGTGAAAAAACAAAAATCCAGTGAACTGGGAATGAAACGGGGAAACGTGCCGAAACCGAAGTGTGAATCCCGTCCCAAGATAAAAAGACGGAGCACTCGGAAAGAAGGTACGGATGTGTGGCGGATTTTTGGTTATGTTGTCATGCACAGTGCGCACAGGGCGAATGGTGCATTTAACATATTTGTGGTCACGTTACCTACACTGGTTATTTCCCCCTCTTATCAAAGCACGGATTGCCTGCTGCGTTTGAAATACTTTGAAATTTGAATGTAATATAGAGGAATAACAATTACTCATAGACCTTATACTCCATTAGAATTTAAAATACGAACAAAACAATACAGTTGTAGTAAAATTATTCACAGCGGTGTATACTGTAAATGTTTTTTGCCCAATTACATAACAATGTTTTATAATCACTTGCCCAAAAGCAATATGATAAACTACATTAAACTACCCAATCACATTGCAATTTTTACATATTCACCCAAATGCAACCCCCCCCCCCCCACAAGCAAAGACCATATAAGCAACAAAATAAAAAAAATTAATATAAAAAATTTAGTTAGGAGCTTGAGACTGCAGTCTATATAATATCGAGCTTCTGCAGCACAAAAAAATTAATAAAATAATTAGTCGGCACGCCTTAATACGGGTACACTGCAGATACATTGTTACACTATTGTTTTGACGGTAAGAAATGGGAAGTATTTATTTAAATTAATAATTTAACAAACTTTACATGTTTAGCAACTTTTTTTTCAATTTTGATTTAATTTTAATACATTGGCTGGCCGGTTAATACATGATTGCTGGCCGACTTTGGCCCACTGATCGTACTTGGTAACCTCTGCTCTAGAGTTCTCCTTAGCCCTTAGGGCTTAAGATACCTGACCAATGTTTAAAAAATAAATCAACTAGAGTTAAACATTAAAGAGAAGAAACATGGGGAGCGGAACACGAGCGCCCTTAGACAAATGCATTTTAAGAGACGAAAAAAAAATGGTCGAAAAAATTATATAATAGGAATACACACTATAAAGACTGCAGTCTACAATCTCCATATTCTTAAACCGAAAAACTATTTACAGTAATTAGTTCATTAAAGAATGATTATTAAGTGGGCATCAGGTTATAAAAGCTTAAAATATTTAAATATGTGTACAAAAAAAAACCATCTAGAGAGTTAAATTAATGAAAAATAAATGATAGGTTAAATTGTATAGTAGGTATATAAACTTATTGATTGTAATTAGTTGATTAACGAAAGATCATGCTGCAAATGGCACCGAGTGAGCAAAGCACAAAAAATGTATTATTTAAAAAAGTCCGAATTAATAATAATGAAAAAAAATAGGAAGGTGAACGTTCAACGTAGGCATCCGCTGCAGTCGAACGTATTTTTCAGAAACAAAACAAAATTATTTAATACTATTAACTCAATATTTTATTTATATAATATCCTACAAGGTAGGACATACTGCATACTACTAAGGTAATTATAATTACCTTGCACACTACCTACTCTAAGGACTAAAGCACTCCCTGATAGCTATATAGTATTGAAAAACATTTATACAAAAAAATCAATTGGAGGTAAATAAATGAATAAATGATTGGTGGAGGGACGAGACACGAGAATATCCACAGTCATTCTCGTTTTAAAAAGTAAAAATAAAAAAATTAATTGGCCTAGAAACTAGAGACTGCTGACTAACCCTAATTATTTTTTATATTCATATTTTGTTATATTTTAAAATAAATTTTTATAATTTTTCGTGGTAAAGAAATCACCAACTTATACTACATAGGTAACTTGTATATTCTTTTCGCAGATTTATATATTTAAAAGAAACCTGTGATTCTTTCAGCTTTCTGGCTGTTTTCAGTTTTGTTTGTGATAAATGATTATGTGATCGTGATGAGAAGGCCTCAATTGCCTCTCCTTAGACTTTCCCTCCATAATCACGGCCGCTATTATTATAAACTATAATATTTATTATTTAAAATTGGCGTTATCTTCATCTGCATGTTCGTTGGTGCTTTGTGATAACGATTCGAATTTCGAACGTTTTTTGTCTTAGACTTTTTCTTTTTTTTAATAATTAATGTTTTTATATTTTGTTCTTACCGTGTTCTTACAACGGGCTAAGTTACAAAATTACTAGTTACGACCGGAAGTTGTAGTTGAGAAACCAAACTATTACAGTAAGACGTTGTCAGTTTCAGTGACTGCAGTGAGTCATACTATTAAAGTATTGAAGTGAGTTCAAAATCTATTAATATTTTTCCCAGATTCGATTCTCATTTCTTTCAAATTTTTTTTACTTCTCATATTATGCATGGTTTTCAACTTCAATCAAACTACAAAATGATCAACTTGAAGTCCGATACTACCTAACGTTAACACATGTCATAATTGATTTCCAAATATTAGTCCGAACCCAAACCCTAAGCCTAACCATTCAAGTCAACCAATATTATGTATTTACTTTCCGAGTAGTACAGGTGTGTACTTAAATATTTCTATGAATGTCTGCTTTCGACATTAATTAACAACACGCTTACCTATCGGCTATCTGTGACATGAATCCATATACCTACTTTTTTATTTCATTCTTCAAAACTAGTGCTTGCAGCACAATTATTTTTATCAATGTACACATTTTATGCTTACCAAACTTTTATTATTGTAATTAACGTGTTAAAATTTATAATTGTTAGTCATCAGGTATCAGGATGGATAATAAAGCAATACACCAACCAATGGTCACCGACCAAAATGAAGAACAAGGTTCCAACATTCACCCATTGTCTGATCATATGAACATAAGTGTAGCGTTTAAAGAAATAGTTTCCAAGGATCCACCCAGGTATACAAAATTTCTCGAAGCTATCAACAAAACATTTGAAGATATTAGCGATTGCGTTGGGTATGTTATAAACAATTTCTATAATTTATTTACATTTTACATACTGGAGTTATGAGTATTTATGGACTTAACTATCGAACATTTTCATTTTTTTTTAGTCCAGAAGAGTTTAAAAACATAATGGGCGATATATCATTTTTAAAAAGTAAAAGGAATGTAACAAATTTGCTGTCTACATTAAAAACTCAGATCAGTAATCTGATGAGCAGGCACTTTGAACAAATTATTGAGGAAGAAAATCTGTCTGAACTATTTACCAAAAAAATTGCATTAAACGAGGAAGAAGCAAAGTATATTATTTTGTGTTTTATTAGTTATTTATTATCAAGTTTGATCACATTTAATATAATTGTATGAGAAATTATTGTTAATTTTTAGAAAATACTACATTAATAACGAGTCCATGGAAATAATAGAATTAGAAGAGACCTTGCGTAAACTTGATGTACAAATTGCGGATTTGGAAGAAACTAATGAAATATTGTTCAATCAAGCAAATTTCAATGAACAGCGATTTGATCAAGTTTCAGAGAGGATAGAAATGTTAAAAGATGAATGTTGGACTAAATACACAAGCATGAATGAACAAATAGAATCAATAAGAAAAGATTTCGTTATCATACTGAAAGATAATTTGAACAACGAATAGTATTTATTTTTAATTTATGATGTAACATTAACAATTAAGAAATTTAAATTATACTTTTTTATTTTTAATACATACTTTGGTTTATTGTGATTGTATAGGTGATAATTAGGGCAGAGGACTTGTAACTCTGAAAAATCACCAAATATGCATTAAATGTACAAAATACGCATTAAAAAATAAATTATTTTTGTATGAATACATTTTATTTAAATTTTGATTTAGAGTCGACGTCTCCGTAGCCCGTATTAATAATATCTTATGAATAATATCTGTGCATTAATAAAATTAATAACCGGGAAATAAATCGGCAATCCTTGAGACGTGTCTCTAGGTAAAACACCCGTGTGGGAACAGTCAATAACTGTATTAATATTATCAACATTTTATATAATTTTAAATTCAACATTATTTTGGTTGTATATTAAATATTTAAATTAAATAAAAATGTCGACAGTAAAAATATTGATACAATTATAAATTATTGAAAATAAGAATTTATATGCAAAAGAAAATGTCAAAACTAGCTTTGTTTCAGCATGAAACGTATTTGTTTCTTACTCTGCTATTTTTGTGATCTTGCTAAACAAATATGGAAATACTACAAGTCCTCTGACCTAGTGATAAATGATTAGAATGAGGCGTTTTCACCACAAGCCCGAAAATAAAGATTTTAATGGGTAAGTCTAACATATTATTTGTTTTCTCCCTGTGGCCCACACAGTACATACCATATTTGTGTTTAGCCGAACAGTCTTGTGATGTTAGTTTTTATGTTAGTGTGAATTCACTTATTATCAAATTTAAAGTTAAGAACATAGTATCTGTGCATATCAAATTTTTTTTATGGTATTTTAATTTTTATGCAAGCTATTAGTATAAATTATATTAAATTATTAAAAATACTTATGAATTGTAAAAAAAACCTCTTTTACATTCTCAGATATTATATTTTTAACCTTAAGATTGATTGTAGGTTAACTTATTCTTATATTTAAGCTTGTTCTACTGAATTCACATTGGCCATATTATGTATGGTTCAGAGGTAAATAGATAGTGCTCTGACATCTGCTTAAATAAAAAATTCAAAATAATATTATACAAATAACATTGATTGTGTAGGGCAGTGGTTCTCAACGGGGGCAATATCGCCCCCCAGTGGGCGGTAAAATGTCACCGAGGGGCAATGTACTAGTTTTGGGTGGTAGGGGGGCGGTGAACTAATTTTGGGTGGTAGATTACCATAATACTAGAACTATAAATAAAAAATATATCAAATATAAAAAATAAATAAAAACATGAGTTATTAGATAATTTCAATTTTTTCTTTTAAATTTTCCAAATACCCTTAACCTAACCCTTATTATAGAATTCTCACATTGTAGGGGCCGTTAAAAAATTTTTTGACACTCAAGGGGGCGGTAACTTAAAAAAGGTTGAGAAACACTGGTGTAGGGTAAAAAAATTTTATTTTAATGGGCGGTCATTGGTTGTTATTAGGAGTCAACTACATACTTGAGTAATAAATAATAAAATTGATAGTCGACTGACAATTTCTATTCAGTCAGTGTTCAGTGGTGTATATTTTAAATGGGCCTTATATTATTATCTATATCTATACTAATATATAAAATGATGGCGTTTGTATGTTCGGGGTAAACTCCAAAACTACTTATTGGATTGTCTTGCAGTTTTTTTAAATTAAAGAGGACATCAAAGAGAAAGTTTTAGGCATAAAGTTAATAAATAATTAGTTATTATTAATTGAAAAAAACGTGTAAATTGTATACCTATACCTTTTAAGTAAGAAATAGTCGCTGACTGAAAATAAATAACAATCAAACTCGACAACCATTTAGTTTAGCAAAAAAAAAAAAACAATTAATTTTATCTGACTATCTATAATTAGTATTTATAATCAATTGTGTTATATTAGTTACTGGTAAAAAATAACTAATAACTAATCAAATTTTTACAAATTGCTTGCTAAAATAGTTGATTTGCACTTATAGCCGCTCATCGGCGTATCTACAGTCAGAAAAGGTGTAATTAATTGTACATTTGCTTGAATGTTATCACTAACTTACAACTCTCAATTTCGAAAATTCCTAGACAAAAATAAAGCTACCTTTAAAGTACAGGGTCAGGTTTACCACGTGGCGGGCAGTCTTTTTCCATATCGTAAGGGATATAATTTTTTTTCAACATTATAAGGATCCGCGGTGGCGACGCTAAATTAATATGACTACATTACCAGTGACTACGTGACTAAAATTGGTCTAAAATGAAAATAATTATTTAACATTCAGAAAATAAATATTAAATTAAAATCTGAAAAATCTTGCAATAGCCAAGCATTGCCGGGTCAGCTAGTGTTAAATAAAGTTGTGACATACTACTTATGAATAACTTATACTAACTCTTTTACTTATATTCAATTATTCTACATTATTATAATTAATTATTTACATTTCCAATGTACTAATAAATAATTTGTGTTCTTAAAAATATTAAACTAATATTGCATTGAAAAATATGCCCCCGCTTCCACCAAAAAAAAATCAAACTCTTACATCTGCTACTGCCAGTGTTCAACTTCAATGGTATCTAAAAATTTTAGAACTTACACATTAAAATGTAATCATAAGGTATATGCAACATTTTTTAATTTTATATTTCTCACCCGTACCACAATTATTTTTGGTTGAAAAAAGATTTGAAATGTTTATAAATTGTTAATTTATTTTACCATAATAATACACAATATTACAATAATATGTTTTAATAATTGCTGAATACATTCTGAAAATAAATTTTAATATACATGTACATAATACTTATTTTTCAAATGAAAATTTAATATAATATTAAAATTAGAAATATAATGTTAACCTTATCAAAAGGATCAAAATAACAATAATAATTTCTATGCAGTGTTTTAAGGATATGTGGCTGGTAAAGATGAAGCAATATAAAGAAATTAACAGAAAAGTTATGTTACATTTTTTTTTTCATTTATCACAAAGTAAGAAATAAATTATATTATATTTAACAAAGTCAAAACGAAACTAATTAAATATATCCATTGATTGTACCCAAGTATAAGTTAAACAATACACAATTAAATTGGTTATTGAAATTTATCACAATTGATTAAAAAAAAAAATGTAATTAGTATATTTTACTGAACCAATGCCATGAGCTCGTCTTTTAAATAGGGATGTTCCTCATTATTTTCAGGCGGATCGTTTGTGAAGAGTAAAACAGTGGTAGGTACCAAGTTCAATTCACTTAAGGTCATGTTCTCATGCTCGCTACTAAATGTACTTCCACTAGGCAGTATCAGTTTGAATGGACGTTCTTCGTCAAATACACTTTCTTTAACAAATTCAAGTACGTCGGACAAGTGCTCATTGACACTAAATGTTCCCTGATCGGATAAATTAAAAAACATTAAATAAATTTCATTTAAAATAAATTATATTGAATGCAAGTTCACCTGTAAAATCAAACAGTCTGGAAACTTCACTCGAATCAAACAGTACTTGTAATTTGATTTATATCTATTTTGTTCCTTCATACGCATGTTTTTAGTTTTCAGAATCATTTCACTTTCCAATTTTTCAGTCCTAAAATAAGATAATTAAATTGTATCATTTAAAGTTTGAGTATATTCTGAATTTTTTTCATTAGAAAAAAGTGCCTTTTTATTTATTATGAACGCTTGCCCCAATACCCCCACTACCCGTAATTCATAAATAAAAATGCTTTTGCATGGAACTAACTTACTGAGATATTATTCTAGGCAGTAGCTTAACAACATTTTCATAATAAATAGGAAATAACTTTTTAAGTTGGAGCTGTTTTTTTTTGTTTTGAATAACTTAAAGACAATTTAAATTATTTATGGTACTTACCTTTTTTGGTATTCTGCTTTTATTTCAGCAGTAGAGACTATGAAAAACTCTGGAGGTAGTGACACTTGTTTTGATGCCTGTGATGGTAAAAGAACCTGAGCATTTCTATCCAAGACCAATTGAATGCGTTCTGCAGACTGCAGATCGTCCACAGTAGTCTGCACTGAGGCTAAATTACTTAAACATTCTTCTGGAAAAACTAAGAAATCTTCTTCTTGTTCCTGGTACATAAGTCTTTTTTTAACAAAACCAATAGATTCTAAGAACTCAATAGCTCCCTTAATTGGCAACACTTTTTCCACAAATGTTTTATTCGTTAATCTGACTTTTCGATACTTTTCTTCATCTTTATTCCTAATAATATTTTCTGCATATGTTACCAGCAACTTAATGCACTCTTCAACCTTTTTAACAGAAAATTATTAGTAAAATGGTTTAATTAATTCTGTAGTACAAGTTTAAAGATTTTATTTTACCTTAGTCCTATTGTGATTGCAGTTTTGGATTAGTAAAATCGATTGTAGTATAGGATCATCTTTCATTTGTTCTTTAATAAATTCTTCTATTTTTATATGCCATTCTTCTTGTGGCAAGACTTCCAAGCCTAAATGCAATTGATTTTATTAAAAAATTTTTTTTACTAATCCAATAAATTTAATAAATATAAAATTAAAACTCGCCTATCATCGGGCATTGGAAAAAAATACCACTAGTAGCTAATTGGCTAGGGACTTCAGCACTCGTATTTTCTTCTTGTGAATATGAAAATGAATCTATGTTATGATCCATGTTTTTTTTTTCGGCTTCCATTTCTTTTCTAGCTCTCGACTTGATGGCAGCCAACGAACTGAAAACCAAAATTGTACCCGCTTGCAACATATTATATTAAAAATTATTCTTGCAATGGACCGCCTAATGCGGTATGATATTATACTCACATGTTGAGAGGGCCAGTGGTGGTCTTTTTACTCTCAAATCGGGCCAAGGCTGCAGCCGCCGCTTGTTTGGCTTCATCGGTAGGTTCAACCCTACAGGCGCGAGAGGTCTCGCCTGGTTTGGCCACAGTCTTGGCTGTGGCGGCGCCTTCATTTAGACGGTGACCGGGCCCCGCTCTTTTGAACTTCACGTCGGCCTTTTTTTTTTGGAAAAATTTTTTCAATTTGTCGCTCATTATATGCGCGGGGTGTACGATTTGGGCAACTTCAACTGGGACACGTCCTCCCTCAGTTCATCGACCACCGTGTCTGAAAAAACAAACGCGACGTTTAGTGA